ACATGGGGTTGATGGTGGGGATGGTGGGGAAGATGCCAGCGTCGCAGATACGGACCCGCTTGAGGCCCTTGATGTTGAGACGCTCGTCGACAACGGCGAGCGGGTCCTTGCGGACGTCACCCATCTTTGTGGTTCCGACAGGGTGGTAGACGGTGTGGGCAGCACGGCGAGCGTACAAGCTGAGCTCCTCGTCGGTCTGGACCTTAGGGCCGGGAGCGACCTCACGGGCGATCCAGTCCTTGAAGGGGGCCTGCTCGGCGACCTTGCGGGCAGCGCGCATGCCGTAGACGAGGGTGGCGGCATCGTAGCCCTCCTCGTCGGTGAAGTAGCGGAAGTCAAGAGCAGGCTTGACGTTGGGGTCGGCCGAGGTCAGGTAGAGGCGACCGCGGGAGCGGGGACGGGGGATGTTGGGGGTCATGCAGAAGGCGTAGCCCTCCTTGGGCTCATCGTAGCCAAGGCGTCCCGTGTTGAGAGTGAAGGGAATCTGGTAGCAGTGCATCATGACATCGGCAATGTTGCCATCGGGAATGCCGTCGGGGTTGAAGAAGGTCTTCTTGGCGCCGGCGTTGGGTGCCTCGCGACGGAGGAAAATACCAGCATCGGAGTCCATGGTGGTCTTGTTTGGGGGAACGGGCTTCTTAAGCTCCCACATGATGATGGACTCGGGGTGGTCCTGGAGGTTCTCACCAACACCGGGCAAGTCGTGGATGACTGGAATGCCAAGGTCGCTGAGCTGCTGCTTGGGACCGACACCAGACAGCATCATCAGGCGAGGGGTGTCGACGGCGCCAGCGGCAAGGATAGTCTCCTTCTTGGAGGTGATGGTGCGCTTGGAACCATCCTGGAGGGTCAGGTTGACACCGGTGACGGTATCGCCCTTAATGTTGAGCTTGGAAACCCAGGCGTTGGTAAGGACGGTGAGGTTGGGGCGCTTCTCATCGCCGCGGAGGAATGGGTGAATGTAGGCGACCGAGGCGCTAGACCGGCGGCCATCATCGGGGTTGTAGGAGATGGAGAAGAAACCAACACCCTGCTGCAGGGCGCCGTCCTGAGCAATGTGCTTGTTGAAGTTGTGGAGGACGGGGATGTTGAGGGCGGAGGAGCAGGAGTTGACCCAGTCAAGGCAAAGCTCGTTCTGGTGGCGGGCGTGGACGGGCTGGACCGTGTTGCGCAGCTTATCCATGAGACGCATGAAGTCGTGGAAGGTCCATCCCTTGGCACCCATAGACTGCCAGATCTTCAGGTCGTACTCAAAGGGTCTGAAGGAGATGAGGGTGTTGTGTGATGAGCAACCACCGAGCACCTTGGCGCGAGAGTGGCGGATGTGAGAGTTGCCTATGGGGAAAAATCATGTCAGTGGACTGTGCCAGAAGAGAGAATGAGATGTTGGAAACAGAATAAGCTTACCCATGGGCTGCTCAGTGGTGCCGTAGTCGTAGTCGAGCTCACCACCGAGAAGGTTGAGCCACTTGCGCAGGTCGAGCACGCGGTCGTCCATGAAGTCGCTGGGGCCAGCCTCAATCAAGAGGATGCGCTTCTGGGGGAGGGACTCGGCCAGGCGAGAGGCGATAACGCAGCCGGCGGTACCACCGCCGACGATGACATAGTCGTAGCGGTCGACGTCGGAGACGGGGAGCTGAGTGGTGGACATTTTGGCGGATGAGGAGGATGAGGGTATTCAAACAGCAAGATTCTCGGGGCACCCGGCCAATCAAGAAGATGAGGGGTAGCTTTTTCTACTTGTACACACGGGAGAATGTATGTACAGAGGGGTAATACAGCCAAGAAACGCGCGGGCGATCTTGGGGTGAGATTGGGGTAGATCTTGGGATGAGAAGAGGAGAAGAATGGCACACGGAGAGGAATGAGGATGGAGAGGGAAGAAGAAAAGGCAAAAGAAATTCAGAAGCTATCGATATAAGTGGAAATTTGGCCGCATTATCAATGATCAATGATCAATGGCAAGTCGGCATGTCGGAGTAGGATACCGTGGAGACACGAGGAGGGTAGGACCCATCCACATCCTTGGCCCTTCCTCGGAGACACAGAAGCAGCCCAGACAGACGGGGAGGCTCGAGAAAGAAAGCTTGCCTCGCTTCGTTCTCTCGGCCGCCGCTTGAGGAAAGAAAAAATTGTTCTCGCGTGGAAAGTACCGACCGACCTCAATCGCACCAGGCCAGCGCCGGCGCCAGCAACAACGGCAGGCGGGCAAGGCGCAGGGCGGTGGAGATGGACCCCGCGAAAGTGGGTGGTGGGGCCCATGAAGGAAAGCGGGTTTCGAGGGCATTGAGACTGACTCGCCGGGTCTTTCAAGTCTCTGCACGAGTATCTCCTTGTCTGATCCTTCCATTCTCTCGGTGTTTCTGCCTGCCACCTGCCCCTACCGCATTCAACAACTGGCAAGTGGGGTTCGCCATGGGTGCGGCACCACAGATCCGGACGTGGGACCGCGAGACCGCGCGGGAGTCGATGTCTCATTGGACAATTGACCTTTTTTTCTGCCGGCCTTATCCTCTTTTTTCTTTGGTACTTTTCGTCTTGTGCTTTTCTCACCAGCCTTCTATCTATTTTTTACTCAATTGCCCCCCCGCCCAAACCGTCCTCATCCTTGCTTTCGTCAGCAAGTAGGGCCGGATTTTCTAAATTCCAAGGTTTCTCACTGGCCCGACAGTCCCAAAACAGACTAAGCGACACCGAGCTAACGTCTCCTGGTCCCCCAGTAGCCAACATTGTCAGCAACATGCAAGACGCAGGCGGCAGGCCCCCAATCAGGGATGTTGCTCAAGACGTGCTTTTGCCATCTGCCCTGGTACGAAGGACCGCCAAAAAGCTGGCAGCACCAGCTTCGGGCAAGCTCAAGGTTCTTTCTTTCGTCGCCGCCCAGGAAGAGAAGGGGGAGACCGCGCTTTCCCACGCACGCCAAGTCCTTCTGATTCTTCTCGAATGTCCACTCTGGTGGAAACTGTCCGACGTCGTTGAAAAAGAATTACGAATAATGGCCAGAGGCAGTTAAGTGCCGCAATGCTCTTCTATGGCACGGGCCAATCATGACGATTCGACTCTGCCTGCTTCACCCGGCCAATACTCCTCGATCCGTTTATTGCGGAATGTCCCACCAGCATAGCTTCAAGCATCTAATTTCACCTGCATTTGTTCGACTCCTCTTCGTCCAACGTCGTGCCCTCGAGGCATGTTGAACCGTCCTTTTCTGCTCGGTACCAGAGTGGACGCCATCGTCCAACAACGCAACAGACTAATTCCGCCCGTTTGCGGCTTGCCACGGAAATTCCACGCGCTGGTGGTGTGTTTGTCCCAGGGGGGGGGGCCTGACTGCAGACATGGACGACCAGTCACACCTACAATTTGGTATCCCAGGCAATTGAGACATGCCAATATGTTGCATATGCAAGAATTGCACCCGACATTCCGCAAACTGCCATGCCGCCATTATCCTGCGCTAAAATTCGGATTCTATCCGTCGATAACAGATAGCCCTGTCTCGGTGACACGGCGTTGGAGTCCGTTCGACCACTCAACCTCGTCTCGAGTCTCGCCCGGCCGCCTCTGCCCGTCTGACCTATCGCCTCGTCCGCGCGGCTGAGGTGGCAGAAGATGAGTGGTTGACTATTACCTGACTGCACACCACCAACAAGTCACGACCGTCGGCGTCATCCGGGGTTCCCGCCGACTTGTCTAGCCCAGGTTGGGTGTGCCAAGGCAACCTTGACCTTGGTCCTGACTCTCTGTCGGCCAGCTTCCAGGTACTCTCCAGGAATTACCCTTTGGTACCCCGTATTCCACTATCAAAAGGGCATAGTCTGCAAGATGATCTGACGAACTCGTCGTTATCGCCGACGATCCAGAGAATCGAACCTAGCCTTCAAAGGCTGAGGAGGCAAGGTGTGAGACGCACACACCGAGATGGACCAAGCGGCTCATGGTTCAGTCTAGACTCTTTTGGCGATATCTGTATATCTGAGATATCTGTCTTTCTCGCATCGCCCGTATCTAGTCTATCTTTTCCGCCGTGCCCGCCGTATCTTTTTCCCGATTGTGGCTCGCCCACCCGGTTGGGTAGCCAATAAGATGCATTCAATTCGTCGTTGAAGTCCCCTGCCGTGCCGCGGCTGCGCGGGTGATCGTTCGACTTTGACGGCCGGGCCCGGGATAAGAACGGATCTGGCGGCCCTACAGAAGTCAGCCACATTGTTGGAGGTGATCTGTCAAAGCTTAGCAGCGTCTGCATATCGTATCAGCAAACAAAGACAGGGTGTTGAGGGATACAAGATAAAAATTTCCAGTCTCCAAGAGTTAAAGGGACCCTGAAGGCTGAAACTTCTTTAGTGGAGGCGACTTTTTTTTTTTTTTTCTTCTTGGTCGCTGCATCTGCACCGCACCAACGCACGTACCGCGGTCCCATAAGGTACGTACCGGCTCGCATCGTCGTGGGAGACTGCAAGGTGAATGGGTGGAGACAAAACTGTTGCATCCGGGTGGAGCAAAGGGCCAATGACGTACGGTCCATGACATCACACCGCCGACGGAGTGGGGCAACATGGGTGTCTCCCGGCAAATCTGCAACACCCCGGCTTGCCAGGCCATTACCCACTCTGGTCAGCTGAACTCGAGATAAGGTCCCCGGCTCTCCTCCGTGGTACGATCCCGATCTCCCTCCGATCTCGACGACCGTCGAAAAAAAAAAATCCTCTAAGCCTGCACCTGCAATTGCGCGCTCCGTCCTCCGTGTCGCCGTCCGTATACCCCGATCAACATCCCATCCCCGGCATCGTCTTGTTGGAACTTTGTCTCGCATCCCGTCATACCCCGTTTCCCCATCCCCTTACCTTGCAGGAATTCCTTCCCGTTTCTAGTGTATTATTCGTTCTGCCAGCATAGCTTCTTTTTTTTCTCACCCTTACCCCTCCCCAGGAAAATAGGAACCAGCCAACCAAACAGATCAATTAGAGCAAAAGTAAAACCCAAATCCCTCATTATCAAGAATGGCGCCACAAGAGCAGAAGCAGGAGGCGGATCGTCACACCTTCTATGCGGGGAAGCCCCAACCAGACACGGAATCCCCAGGCACCTTCCAATCCATCGATCCCGCGACGGCGAAGCCCGTCTGCACCATCCACACTTCCTCCGCCGCGTCCATCAACGCCGCCGTCGACGCCGCGAAGACGGCCTTTCCCTCCTGGTCCGCCACCCCGCCCATCGAGCGCTCCCGCATCCTCCTTCGCGCCGTCGCCCTCCTCCGCGAGCGCAACGACGAGCTGGCCAAGATCGAGACCCTCGACACCGGCAAGGCCTTCTCCGAGACCCAGTACGTCGACGTCGTCACCGGCGCCGACGTCCTCGAGTACTACGCCAACCTCGTCGCCTCGGGCGGCCTCAACGGCGAGTCCTTCCGCCTTAGGCCCTCCGCCTGGTCCTACACCACCAAGGAACCCCTCGGAGTCTGCGCCGGCATCGGCGCCTGGAACTACCCCATCCAGATCGCCCTGTGGAAGTCGGCCCCGTGCCTGGCTGCCGGTAACTGCATGATTTACAAGCCGAGCGAGTTCACACCCTTGCACGCCGAGTACCTCGCCTCCGTCTACCGCGACGCCGGCGTGCCGGACGGCGTCTTCAACGTCGTCTACGGCGCGGGCGACGTTGGCGCCCAGCTCACGACGCACCCGAATATCGCAAAGGTCAGCTTCACGGGCCAGGTGAGCACGGGCAAGAAGGTCGCCGGCGCCGCGGCGGGCGGTATGAAGTACGTGACCATGGAGCTCGGCGGCAAGAGCCCCGTCATCGTCCTGCCGGACTGTGACATCGAGCAGGCCGTCGACGGCGCCATGCTCGCCAACTTTTACAGCTCGGGCCAGGTCTGCACCAACGGCACGCGCGTCTTCATCCCCAAGGCCATCAAGGCCGAGTTTGAGAAGCTCGTGCTCGAGAAGATCCAATACGTCCGCGCGGGCGACCTGTTTGACCCGGCCACCAACTTTGGCCCGCTCAACAGCAGGACGCACCTCGAAAAGGTGCAGGCGTACGTTCGCAAGGGCGTCATGGAGGATAAGGCGACGCTCCTGTGCGGCGGCGCGACGCAGCCCAAGGGTCTACCGTCGGCGTACAAGTCTGGGTTCTGGATCCAGCCGACCGTGTTTACGGACTGCACTGACGACATGGCGATTGTCAAGGAGGAGATTTTCGGCCCCGTGATGAGCATTCTTACCTACGACACCGTCGACGAGGCTGTGCAGCGAGCCAACACCACGGACGTCGGTCTCGCGGCGGGCGTGTTTGGTCGGGACGTCGACCAGTGCCACAGTGTTATTCAGAAGCTTGAGGCTGGTATCACCTGGGTCAACACGTGGGGCGAGTCGCCTGCGGAGATGGCGGTCGGCGGGTGGAAGTCGAGCGGTGTTGGTGTGGAGAATGGACGGAAGGGTCTTGAGGCGTGGGTGAGGAACAAGAGCACGCTTGTTGAGATGGGCGGTAGCGTGCCGACTGTCTTCTCCAAGTTGTAAAAATTTGTAAGAATGTACAAAGGGAAAAAAGGGAATAGGAGGAGGTTGTTGGTGATTCGCATTGAACCTCCCAGCCTACAGGTCTGGTGAAAACAAAAGCTTGTCTTGGACTGGAGAAGGTTTTGGTTAGATATGAGCGTCTGAATGATATCACGGATTTGACGATGTTTCCCCGCCATTGCTGCGCCGACTTTACTAGTGAAATGCTTTCATTCAATGCAAGTGAAGTGCTCCTAAGATCAAACTGAGGGACAATGCGGCCTTGCAAGTGACAAGAGTGAAAATCAACTTATCTTATACACGATTGCAAGATGCCCGGCTACGGAGTGCGATTAATAGACATCGAGATTTGTGCGCGCAAAAGAGCTAGGACCTCGAGATAATAGAGGGTTCACAGAAAGTAGGTACTCAAGCTTGTCGAGGACCATCAAGATTACTGATGAGGCAGCAGTCACCAGAGAACACGGACTCAAATATTACTAGCATGAACTCAAATTGCCAGTGAGGCACCTCAGGTACCTTGGTCGGAAAAGATCAGGACGCTGATGATGGGTTGTCTGATCGTTTGGTGAGGAAGACTTCTCACGGTACTAATGAGGGGCAGAGAGACCCAACCAGTTCAAAGTTCACCTCACACTCCTCAAAGCCTCTCTCCACCAGTGACTTCTATACTGTGGAATATACTTGAGATGGTGGTAAGGCACTACGGGCAGTCTCGCTAATTCTAGAAAGTAGTTGTGGACAAGTTCGACATTCTCCGCCTTGAGGATGTGAGATGAATAACATGTCGGCACAAGGAACACCTCTCTACAAATTGAGCATCCAGCAGTGGCGCTTGGACAAAGACACGACACCAATACGAGAAACTTGCCCATATCGTACCATGATTGGGACGTAGTACAATGCTTCATATAGGCAGCTTATTGGCGGGGTATTCTAGTTTTAAAGTAAAGTACTAATTTCGCAATTGTCTCGTGTCTGCATCACCACCAGCACTAAAATCCGCATTTGCTGCTTCACGATGGAAGCTCCTGAGCTTGCCTCGTCCTTGCAAAGCCGTAAGCTGTAACCATGCCACGTCTAGAAACTTTCATATTGTCAGGAGCGAAGGATCAGCTGGGGGGTCGCAAAAGACCGGCGCGCTATAATCATGAGAATTCTCGGACCTGATCAAGTCACTGCCGGCTTCTGAGAAGAGGTTGAACAAGGCTCGTCCAAAGCCATGCCACTGAACTACGATGTGAACATTACTGTGATACTTACGTCTCGGACACAAGAGTGTGCGGAGAGGGAAAGCCAAGAATTACACAGCTTCTTAAGCCGGTGGTTACATGCCAATGGTTTCAGCTTCCGAATCACTCCCGGGCTCAAGGTGTGAAAGCGAAGTAAATGTGATAGAGACCGTGCTACTAGCCAAGCCCTCGGCACGGATCCTAGAGACTTCTCTCTGGCAATTCCGGTGGCACAGAGAAAGGTCACTTTGACTGGCTGCACATTGTCATATAACGCCGCAAGGAGATCGATATGGTATAGAATACCGATAACTTGAAACGATAATAATCTTATTCTTCCATGCTGCATCTCTCGGATGTAGCATTCTCACTAGAATTAAACTGTTAGGGCCACCAAGAAGCTGCTTCGGAAGTAGATGGAGTGTCTGAGCAGCACTGGCGTTGAGCCCCGGGCTAATACATAGGGAGAAGAGTGCATGGAACACTTCCTAACCTGATTCGTCCTATGGCTCGTAGCGTATCATTTAGCTAAATATCGTCAAAGAGTCCTTTGGTCGATGTCGGGAGTTTGAGAAGAATGATGATGGGCACGGAAGCAGATTGCGGACCCGACTTTGGAGTCTCCAAAGGCTTCAAATTTGAGTTGAGGTAACGCAGACCCGTGCCCACTAATGGTCCACGTACAATGTACTAGTGTAGATACAGCTCAGCTGTCCGCATTTACTCTGCCTAGCTACGCTGGACTTTTGTCCGATAATAAAACGCCAGAGAAGGTGTCTTTGAAAATCGCAGACTGAAAGCATAATCCAAGCCGATTGAAAGGCAGATCTTAGAGCCCTGAAGCAAGGTAGTTCAGCAAATGGGTAACATTCACTACCCAAAGCTCCAACAGCATGGAACGTATAGACAGCAGGCTATTCGGTATTACTGAGAAGTCGGACAAATTTTCTGTCTCGTAGTAGGCACATAGTGTTTAGACACTGCTCGATTTCCAATTTGTCAAGGAACTCAAATGATTGCAGAAGTGCGGCCCTTGGTCCTTCCAGCTTTGACGTTATCTTGACTCATCCTCTTCAACTGACATATGTGTCTCGTAGCTCTAAACACAGAAGACGTAAAAGGAAGGAAAGCAAAATCTTAGTTTGATGTTCTTGTTCATTCCTTCGTTATTTGTCCAAATTCTCAAATTTAGTAGGAATAAGGTGTAAGTAATGGCCCGCATGAGGGGCGACTCCGAAAGAAACGGAACACATCGTAAACATGAAGTCTAGATGTGGCAAGTCCTCCTGTAATACCTCGTTGCCACGAGGGCAGTGCAGGTTCCCGCATCGGTTCCATCAGAAGCAACATGTTAAATGTGGGTATTGCGGGAAGACCTCGTCCGTAAGGTGCTCCGGTACTTGACGTGTCGTAAATGATGGGGTCCAACTCCAGTTCGTGACGTTAAAGTCACGCTATGGGTAGTTTCGAATCAATCAGGGCGGCTTGACGAAGTCTTGTCCGGATGCCTCCGTCTGCTCATGAGCTGTGTACGAATTTCCGCCTCTTCCTGTAAGAGCTACAGGTTGATATGAGAAACTAGTTGGATATCACATGCTCAGCTGGTCTATTTCATATCAGTCTAGTGAATCGTATTCGACACTCGTCATTATTCAACCATTTTAGTGGCCAAACAATGAAGTGGAACATCGTGGTAAAAGCCACTGATGAAGCCTTACTGGCTCATTTGCCGAAAACCGCTCACTCTTTCATCGCTTCGTACTCTTGTTCTTCATGTGAGACACAGATGTGGCACTTGGGATGTCACACCTCCTTCGGGGAGAAAGGGGAAAACTGGAGAGGAAGGTGTTGATGAGACAAAAGATCTGATTAGTTTTTCCGCCCCTTGTCCGGGTTTGCATCCCCCTCATATCCGTCAAAATCCCGTGACCGGTCGCTAGGGCCAACCAATACTGTTGTACACTACGGCGTATGTAGACTTAATACCAGTACTCCGTAGACCAACATGATGGGGGCCAGCGCACTGTCCTCGAGTAAAAATAGCGGGCTGATCCGACGAAAAGTGAGATATGAAACAGACGTCAAGACCAAAATGTGGGCCCTTGAGAAAGCAAAGAAGAAAACTGTCTTGACATGCTTAAGTAGAGCCTGTACAGGGCAAGGACAGAGCGCAGCAATGGTTCGACTCTTTTCAATTGCCCTAAGTAATGTGATGATGTGATGTGATCGCTGCACCTTGCAGAAACCTGGGTGGAATTCCTGACATGGATGGGAAAAAAAAAGGAAAACGGCATTGCCGGCCAAGCTAAAGAGGTCGAATAAGCTTGTATGCCAAGGTGGATATGCCATTATGTCCACGTCTTCCTAGAGCTATAGGCTATAGGAGTAGTGCTTGAATGCCAAGGGCTAGCGGGGGTGACGCGAAGTATCATATCAGATACCCCATGGCGAAATATGCAGACGCGTGATAGCGCACTCAATTAAGGTGTGACCAAGAACCGATGGCTTGGTCCCTAATGCAGACATTTCAAGAAGACGAGTTAGGGGACTGAAGCTGCCAAGAATGCCGGTGATGGATTTACTTTCGATCGTCTGTTATATCGGATCACCCGCATCCTTTACACTCTACGGTTATCTCACTCCATGAATGATGAGAAGCAGAAGACTGAGCCGTACCATACACCTTCAAGTTCTTGCTGCCCTTGGGGTGATGCACACATCTGCGGTTTGCCACGGCTAATGTACCCCTGTCCGTCAGGAGCAAGAAAAGGAAAGTGGGAGCGGGCTGGGGTCCGGCTAATGTTCCTCCTTTTTCCAGATTTCCAGACGACCGTTGCGAGGTAAAAATACAACCTATTGATCCTACGGAGAGTTTCCATGACAGCACATATTCACGTGGGAGGTCATCTCTCCAATAGAAGGTCAACGTATGGCAGAAACGAGTGGCTGGGTTGGAAAGCGGGCCATGTTATGCCATGCTCGGACTGCCAAGAAGTGACGGTCGACGTCCTGAAGTTCTGGAACGCGCGTCATCGTGATAGGTACCGGGCTCCTGGCCGTCCATCATTACTCCAGGGCTTCAGCCGACCCGACAAGAGAGCCTGGGAGGAGAGATTGAGGCAAACGGGCTCAAGAAGGATGGTGGGAAAACTGGTACTTCCTTGGCAATCTCCCGAGGAAAGGCAAGGGCGGCGTCAAGTGCGACAAGGGAGTCGTCGGGCTTGATCCCATGCTGTCACTCGTCTGGGACTAGAACTCCATGAGAGCGGAGGAGATGAATGGGGAAAGGAGCCGTGTGGGGGGCGGAAGTTTTCTGCCCATCAGAGTCCAATTTTGCCTCTGCGGAAGAGTCGAAAAGAGGTTTTAGACAGTTGGACCCATCGAATAACAGCTCTGATCAAGGTTTGGAGAGAAGAGGACAGCAACTGTAGCGTCTGAGCTTCTTTCCGTTGCCTGTGTATAATTGGCTATATGCCGCGGTACCTTGTCCCTTTGGAGAGTCTTGGTGCGCGATGGCGTCTCGAAGGTTGCAACTGATGCAAGGTACCAGTTGCCAAGCTCCCAAACCCCCCCACCATCCCGTAGATTCAGAAAAAGAACCATTGTGGATCCTGGCAGATCGGGGAGGTAAGTCACTTGGGCGCAGTGGATACAGAGTTCTGGGAATTTGAACCATATGTGACGGATTAACGACATGTGATTGGCCAAAAGCCCCAGTCCCAGTGCCCCACCAAAACGTTACCAGCTCCTGCCAGCTGAGGCTATTTCCTTCTCAACCCCTGGTCGTTTTCCTTTTCGCACCTCACCTCGTCAAGTTCCTCAACTCTATTGCCTCCAAGAACAGACATCAATCTATTTACCTCGTGGCATGCGTACCGAACTGGATTGAAAGCTCCATAGGAATCATCAAACCCCAGGAATCACACGTGTATTCGTAGGCCAAGTGCCCGAGTGGGCTGAGAATCACACTACGAGACGCCATGGCCGCACGCCCGCGACGACACATCTTCCCTCATTCTGCTCGACTGCCACATAAGATCAGCGATGGCCCCAAGGACGCATGATGATCCCGGCGAATCCAGCGTCTTGCAGCATGTCAGTCATCTTGGCATTTTCATAGACCCATGAGCCCATGACACCCAAGCATCCAGACTGGAGGAAGAGGTCAAGCCCAAACTTGGGATGGCGTCAAGTCATCCTAAGACGTGGGCTGCTAGCGTGTTTGGGCCTCGTGGAGTTGAGCCGCTGCCCATCACACAGTCACGTCTCCTGGCGGGTCAAGTCGACTCTCTGCCCATTGGTTGACGAGCTCCTGACGGCTGTGAATCAGAGTTCAAACGACCGCGGAGACCTCCCGTCTAGTGACCCCGGTCTGCGGGTATTATTTTGTTTGCCCATGGGACGGTATGCAGGGGCCCAACCGCTCTCTACTACTCTCCTACATGGCGCCCCACAACGACATCGATGGTAACGATGGTGTTAGTCTCTCGAGCCGTCCCTTTTAGGGAAGCCATGATGCCCAAGGAAGCAGCCTTCGTCCGTCTGCTCTGTTTCTCCAACCAACTTTGTTCTCATGTTTTTGGATCTGTAGGCTTGAGGCCATTCTCATTCTTTGCCCTGGCGGTTGTAATTTTCCCCTGCCCTGGCGGCCATATTCAACTACACTTCTAATTCCTATTCACATTGCCTGCTGCCGAATCTGCCTTGTCCATACTACCTTCCAGGTCCAGCAACTTACATCGAGATGGCCTTTTCAGAGAGATCATGCCCCGTCTCGGGCTCAGTAGGAGGAGGTGTTTGTCCAGTCGGCGCCAACAAATCAGGAAGGCAGAGCAGGTCAAGCAGTCGTATGGGCCCACGAGGATGTTCCTTCTCGGGCTTCTCCCAGCCTGGTGATATCCACACAGCATTCGACGTAAGCCTTGACCAACCTTTCCTTTAGGGTCGAACTTACTAACACCATCTCAGATCCCTCGAGGAGTTGACGCAGAGGAGTGGCTCCGAATGAGGTATGCCTGGGTCCTGCTACCCATCTTTCACAGCCCACTGACTTGACTGGTACAGGGAGCGGAAATCTATCAACCATGTTCTTTATTCCCAATACCCATCACAACAAGAGATTGATTCGGTCAAATCACAAGCAGAGTTGGACGCCTTCAACGTCAACGAGGCAGACCTGCTAGCCGTTGCACTCGGAGCGCCGGCGAGGCAGGTGATGCTAAGAGCGGAGGAGATTGGTCCGCAGACAGGTTGGAAAGACGGCTTTCTCAGCGTTGAACATGGTTTCTGCCCGCCAGACTACGACGAGGCGGCTGGTGCCCTGGCTAGATCCCCAGGCCGCGTTTGGATTGACCTCGCAGAACGCATGCCCGGGTGCGTGGCCCGCGGCCGTGTCCGAGAGTCGGTCGCCGCTGTACCTGTTATCGAGGGTACGGCAGACGTCATTCCCGATCAGGCTCTCTGGGCGGCCCTTGTGTCACTCGGCATGCTCTGCTCTATCTACCGCTTCGAGCAGAAGTACGACGGCCACGATGGGGTGAACGCATCGACAAACCCCACGAAGTTGAAGCTGAACTGCAGAATGGGCGACTACTTGGGAGAGGAGCTCGTCGGTATCCCTCTTAGCATTGCTTTACCCTACTTCCAAGTATCTCGACGGATGGGCCGAACACTCCCTCATCTGACATTTGTCGACCAATCTTCATACAATCTGAAGATCAAGGATGTCACCTCTACATACCCCTACGTCGCTCGTTTCGACAACATGGAGCTCAGATGGCCCATGTTCGGTGAGCGTGCCGAAGTCGCTTTCCTCAAGGGTGTTGCAGAGACTTCAGGTTAGTAGTGCCATGTCTTTTGGAATTGTTCCTTATTACCTCGTGACATGGTTACTGACTTGATGAGAAAGCTTCCTTCCAACACGGGCCTGACGCTATTGCAGCATGCCAAGAACATGTCATGAACCGCAACAACGAAGGCCTCCTTCACGAGATGATTCGTCTAAAGGAAATTCTCGAGCGCATGCCCAACGCCTTCCACTCCATTTCAACCAACCCTAATGCCGGTGAAAACTACGTGCCTGTTCAGCAATGGGTCCGCTGGGCTAAGTTCTCCGCTCCTCTCTCAAAGCGATGCCCTGCCTCCTCAGGTCTGCAGTTCCCACCTTACTTGGTAATGGATGCTTTCTTGGGCAGAAGCAAGTAAGTCGAGCATCATCTTTGCTGCTTTTCCAATCAGTCACTGATCCTATTTCCAGCTACACCTCATTCCTGGGGGCCGAGGGTGTTCACCTCCGTGCTTGGTTCCCTGCCAACCTGCGCGCCTTTATTGCAGCCATCGAATACCACTACCGCATCCCTGAATACGTCCAAAGGTCCGGCGACCCGCGTCTGATGGGAGTTCTTGATGGTATCGTCGAAGCCTATACCGGTGAACGTGGCTTCATGGGAGTGCACCGCTACAAGGTCTTCGGCATCCTCGAGGTCGCCGCGAAAACTGGCCGAACGGAAACCAACGGCGCATCGGGTGCGGCAGACGGCGAGCGCCCATGGGAAGAGACCCATCGCCAGTTCTCCGAGGCAATGAAGGAGCGCCTCGAACCCTATCGAGGCAAACTGGCAATCGAGCCGCACCAGATGCGCGGCACTTTCGAAGAATGCCGCTATGTCACTCGCGTGTTGAGCAGGTCTTTTGTTGATTCTGATCCATCTCGTTCAATTGCAATGGTCACGCTCGATATCCGAGAGACCGGCATCACGTTCGCACCAGGTGATCGCCTGGCCGTGATGCCCCTGAACGGGTGGGAGGAGTGCGCCAAAGTCATCGCCGCCTTGGGCTTGGAGGAGCATATCGACGCCCCGGTCGAGGTCAGCGGAATCTGGGCTCGCTTCGAGATGCATCTCGGGTCTGTCAGGAGAACCGCGACACCCAAGCTCACAGTCGGTGACATCCTTCGACGTGGCCACCTTGCCCCAATCACCAAGGAGATGGCCCTCAAGGTTCATGGTTTGCTGCATGCATCCTCCAACACCGTCTTGCAGGTCCTCAGCACGGATGAGTGGCCCGTCAGAGGATCGTTGGGCGATCTCTTGCAAGACGCCGTTACGGATACGCCACCCCAAATCTGGGATAGAGTATTCAACCTCGACAATCTCGCA